TTGTATATTTTTATTGAGGTAATGTTGTTTTACTCCACTGTATGTGATTTAGAGCTGCCATCTCCTAATGGAAAATCGATTTATTTGAACATGAGATGGTTTTCAATCTAGGGAGGTGAAGCAGAGCAGGGAGCCTGCAGAAACCAACATGCCTTTGGAGAGGGAATCATTCCTAGTGAAATATGCTGATCTTCCCTGACGAGACGGGACAGATTACTGGAATAAATACCCAGATTTCACCCCTACCCTAGCTCTGGAAATTTCAGTCTTCTTAAGTGTGAGGTACTGGTAGGGATGGGGGAGATTCTGTTATCTGGCAATTTATCATCAAAAGATTCCAGCGCATTGTTTTAGAAGGAATCTGGAAAGATGAGGAACTTCATAGGTAAGCATTTCTTCTGAATAAGGCTCTGAAATGGCCCAGGAAATCAAAGAAACTTATAGTTAGAGTCTAACCCAGAGAAGATATTGAAGAGTAGCCTCAGTTATTAAGAAAGGACAGTTGTGGTAACCCCGGGCAGGGAAGGCTTCTCTTATAGAGACACATAAGAGGTTAAGAGCGTCATGTCGTTATTTCTTACTGAAACTTCCATAGGGTGTCAGCAAATTGCTTTTTAGATATAGACATTACTGTAATTACTAGTCTTGGAAATAACTGATATTTGTGAAATTGTCCTACACCACAACATAGCTTGAGCGTAGGTCCTGCAGCCCAGAGCGGGAGAGAACGCAACCCCTACCCAGGTCCAGCTCTGGGGAGAGTGAAGCTCACTGCCCCGCACCCCATTTCTGAGCCGCTGTTCCTGTAGGGACGGGAGTTCACGCAGGCTCTCTTGACAGTGCCTTCACTATTTCTACACTTATGAGTGTTAATCTACTGTCACAATTATTTTTGAAATACTTAAGTAGAATGAATGCAATAGTAATGGCAAAGATTACAGAACTTAGTCACACATTATTAACTGATCTAAAAATAAAAGAGGAAATCATTCCCTTTTATTTCTATAACACAGATTTTCTAGTTGTAGAAAGAAGGTTACCCATGTGCCCCACACAGTATGAACTTTCACAGGCTGTCATGTTTATAGAAACTAGTATTCTCCTCCAATTTTCTTATTCATGCAGACTGCTCTCCTAAATGAAGCTTCCCCATGTGAATATTTTGGAAAAAGTTCATAAATGTTGTTCCATGTGCCTCCAAGGTTTTTATTAGGTTATTATTTTACTCTCCAACTAAGAAATTTATCACCAAAGCAATTTCCCAGAAACTTTCTTATAAGCATCACTTCAAAGTTGGTGTAAGACCTTAGTTCATTTTTCTGTTGCCATTTTGTTCAATTAAAATATGGCCTATATCTTCAGTATCTGAGACATATATCTATCAGTATCTGAGAGAAACAACATATTTCACTATTCGGAAAGAATTCCTAATTGTGAAATGTTTTTCTAGCAAAGTGTAATTCAATGTTGGTCAGTAATAGAAACTAATTTTAGAATATGTTCATGGAGGGGGTACCTGCAGAGAAGCTTAAATTCAAAAACTTCAGCTTGTCACTTCAGGAGTGATGTGCTGCTATATCTGGTGTTTATGCCAGGAGATACTTAAAATCTTGTGAACACTTGTGAACGGCCAATGTGGCATGCACCCAAATTTGTATATATGTGTGTGTGTCTGTATTTCTATTAGGAATTTATTTCTCGTGCTTTAGCACAGTCCCTTGAGTCACCTAGAACCTCAGTCACTGCTGTAGAGACATTGTATCCCTCATGGCGCCTCTATAAACACTCAAAGGAGTCATCTCAGCTCAAAAATGGACCTTTGGTGTCAAACACAGCTACATTATATTATATACTAGATCTTTATAGATCTTAGATCTTACAGTTTGTAAGTTCTTTTACTGTTTTAGTTGTTGATACTTATTTACTGAACTCATGTTTGTTTATTCCTCTTGGTGACAGGAAACAGAGATGAAGGAAATGGTTTTGGGTGATAATGTGAGGATAATCAAGTCATATATTCAATATGTGAAAACCTTTTGTATGTCATATTTCCTAATTTTTTTTAAAGATTTATTTATATGTGCATACAGAACAGGGGTACACGCCAGAGGCTCAGGGGCGGTGAGAGGCTTCACCAGAGACAGAGTGGGGAGCAGAACAGGCAGATCGAGGAAGTACACTGCTGAGGGGAGCAGTGGGCGGGTCAGGAGAGGTCTGCCGCGCCATGTGGTCACCTCCGGGGCGGGCGGGAATCGAACTCATGCGGAAGCGGCTTTAGATTGTCAGTGCTGTGCTTTAACCCGCTGCGCCACCAGGGAGGGCCCTATTTCCTAATATTAAAGAAAAACGTTAAGAACATTAAAGTCTTTTGATGGTGTTTAGAGAGGAACAAGCAGCTGTCACTTCCTTTCTGTGTCTGTGGAAGTACAGGAACCCCGCAGGGAGGGACCCTCCGTGTCCTGTCCTCTGAGCCCCATCGGGCTCACACAGTGAGATGGGGACTATGCACAGTGACCACAGTTGAAATTTGAGTGGCCATTAGGCATTTTCAAGCTTCAGAAGCTGCTTTTACGGAAATTGAAATTTTCACAGGATTATACAATAAATTCCACAATATATATTGGCCAATTACTTTATAAGCTTAAGAGAATCTCAAGACCTTTGAGTTACTCTAAATTCATCCTCCCTTAAAGGGACTGACCACCTATTATCTTGGAGTTTATAGCTCTAAAACTTGTATTGGCCTTGTAGGTAAAAGTCATGTCTCATATGCAATAGCTTGTAACTCAGAGTTGTTGTGTTGAAAATATGAAATATTCTTTAGCATGTAGCAGTTGTCTGTGCAAACATTCCACTGGAATGGTGGTGTAGTCTGACATCATTCCACATATTCTTATCTAGGAAACAGAAATATCTCTAGGGCCACAGACTGGAATTAAAAAATAGTAAGGGCCCCGGCCCTCCCTGGTGGCGCAGCGGGTCAAAGCACAGCACTAAGAAGCTAAAACCACTTCCGCATGAGTTCGATCCCCACCTGCCCCGGAGGTGACCACATGAAGCCACAGACCTTTCCTGACCCGCTCGCTGCTCCCCTCAGCAGTGTACTGTATCAGTCAGTCTGTTCTGCTCCCCACTCTGTCTCTGGTGAAGCCTCTCACCGCCCCTGAGACTCTGGCCTGTACCCCAGTTCTGTATGCACAAATAAATAAATCTTTAAAAAAAAAAAAGTTAGTAAGTTTGGGATAGTTGTTTCTATATGGAATCATTTGGATCTGGGAAGCAAAATGCAGGCAAATATCCTATACAGTTATAGTCAGCTCTTGTAGACCAGATTTGACAAGTAAATTAGAAATTACTTACATTATTAACAGTTTATACTTAAGTCTGTGAACTCACTTTCCTGTAGGTGGTTTCGATATGAAGCAGTGATAACAATCAATGAAAGTCGTATGTTTTATACCATGTTTGATTAATGAACATTAAACATGGCAGTGAGGATGACAGGAACTGTGAGGCTGTCATAAGAGATTCCATCGTAAAGGTGGATTTGAGGTTGTCCAGCTTTGATTACTGAACTGAGGACTCCTTCCTG